TACCAATTTGAGCTTCATATCAAACCAAAAGCCATGCTGCTACCCAACTGTTGAGCAGACAAAGCAAATGCATTCCATTACAGAGAAATCTCTGCACACCTTCCACTGCAAAACATTAAGTATAAAACCAGGTCTTTGTGCCAGGCTGAGCTAGTACAACCTATTCAATCTCTTCACAAACAGTTATTTTTTTTATAGCTGTAAAACAAATCTTTGAACTCCCAGTAACCTTACCCATTGGCCCCACCACCACCACCACCACCACCATTTAAAGTCTTAATTCAACTTACCTCTTTTCTATTCTTTGAATATACACATCAAAATGAATAGCTCTGTATAAACTCTCCATAAGGTAAAAATATACATAACACACATAAATCATATAATCATATACATATCATATAATCATATTTGTCACATATGTAATTATATATATTAACATATATATTATATAATCAATTCTCATTCTTGGATAGGATTTGACTGACTGATGTTAATTTTGACTGAAAATTATTTTAAGGCAAGAATACTACATGATTTTCTTGCAAACTGTGTCAGGAAAGCCACCCACAGCCAATTTGCATATGCCATATTTAAATTAACAAAGATGTGCCTCAGTGGTCTTTTCACTAAACCCTCTGCTGTGTTCCTATGGCCTGAAGGGTTTTTTCAAACTTAATTACATAATGAAATAGCCCCAACTCCTATTCTAAAAGCTAGCAACAGAACTGCCACCCCAAAAGTCAGGCTGCATTCCTCAAAAACACTAAATATAGAAATTTCATCTGGCTCAGCTATACCTGTTTTGAGCATTCCTGAAAGAGTTAAAAGATATCATATAGTGATACATGCACATTCATGTTTATAGTAGCACTATTTGTAATACCCATATTATGGAAACAACCTGTGCCCATCAACAAATGAATGGTTAAAGATAATGTGATATATATGATATATATATATATATATATATGTATAAAATGAAACCATAAATAAGGATAAATATGAGTCATTTGCTAGGAAAATGGGTTCACCTTGAGCTCATAATGCTAAATGAAATAAATCAGAGACAGAAAGTTAAATATTGTATGGTTTTTATATGAAAAACCCCAAATATAAATAATTTAAAGATAAAAAACAAAGATGATAGAAAAGAAGGAGACAGATTTTGTAGAAATGAAGATACAGAAAGGAGAAGAGGGGAAGGGAAAGTAAAAAGGGTCAAGGTACATTATGAGCACTCATAAATTTGCTCTGTTCTTAGGAAAGGGTATGGGTTTAGAGGGCTAAGAGGTTATTTCTGGATTTAACTATTTTAACTCTCAGATCTCTCTTGTGTCTCTTAGCTCTACTCTGCAGTGGGAGGAGAGGCAATGCACTCTCAAACCCTGTACCCAGGCAAAGAATGTCAAAGGTTGGAAAGATTCCTGGTCCCTCTGGAGAAGTGGCTGAGCGCAGCTTCTGGAACCATGCTCCCTGCACTGGAATCACAGTCCAGGTTTATTCACCTGTCAAGATAATGTAAATCAAGTTGTTTCACATGCCTGTAGTCTCAACTACTCAAGAGGGTAAGGCAGGAATACTTAAGCCCAGGAGTTTGCGATCAACCTGAGCTGATAATTGAGTGGAAGAAGAGAAAAAAGAAAGGAGGAGGACAGGAAGGAGAAACAGAGGATGATGATGAGGAGGAAGAGCAGGAGGAGGAAGGAGGAAGGAATAGTAATAATGGTACCTATCTCATAGGTTCCTTGTAAGAATCAAATGTACCAATATATGTTAAGACTTAAAATAGACACATAAATATTCAGTAAGTGTTATCTATTACTATTCTACTCTGTTTTTATTATATTTTATTATTGTATTGATATCCTCCTGTAATCTATTATCATACTTGGATCTTGTCTTTTTTTTTTTTTTTTTTTTTTTTAATCGGTACCGGGGATCGAACTCACGACCACCTGCTTGTAAGGCAGGTGCTTATGCCGCTGAGCTAAATCCCCAGGCCCTGGATCTTGTCTTAATTGTGTTTTGTAAAAAGTTGTTTGGGACTAGATAACTTATACAGAACCAAAATTTACTTCCTCCTAGTACTGGAGGCTGCTGCTTTCTCACCAAGCAGAAGGTGGAAAAGCAAAGAAACTGAATCCCCTCCATCACATTCCTTTATTAGGGCCCTAAAATCTGCTCATACAGGGAGAACACCATAACCTAATCACTTAACTTCCTGACCTCTTAACATACACTGGCAACATCTGAAATTTGGAAGGATACTTTCAAAACTAAAGCACTCCTCTAGAGATCCACTTAATGTTCCTCCCTGTCTTTGTATATTACAAACCTCAATTTAGCAAAAAAAAAAAGTTTAACAGCATATATTGATGTATGTGCGTGTGCATGCTTTAAACTCTTCAATGATTGCCTTAAAATAAAAGAATTATGGTAGGATATTCTGGTTTCCTATTATTGTAATAAATCACCACAAGTTCAGTGGCCTAAAACAAGATTAATCTATTACTGTCTAGTTCTGAAGGTCAAAAATGCAAGAAGGCTCAGCAGAGCTGTGTTTCTTTGGGATGCTCAAGAGACAACTATTCATTCTGCTTTTCAGCTTCTAGAGGAAGCATGTTTTCCCTTCGACCTCTGCTTCTGCTGTCACATTTCTTTCTCTGATTCTGACACTCTGCTCCCTGCTACCCACCCCAACTATATTGGTCTGTCTATCTGTCTGTCTGTCTAACTATCTAGCTAGCTAGCCAGCTAGCTAGCTGTCTATGTTGGTACTGGCAACTGAGTGCCAAGGCCTCCATACTGCACTACATTAGCAATTATTTTTACTTTTTATTTTTGAAATGGAATCCCACCAAAGTCATTAAGTTGTCCAGGTTGGCAATGGACTTGTGATTTTCCAGCCTCCAAAAATACTAGAATGTCAGGCACCATCAAACTCAGGTCTCCTTTCCACTTATAAGGATTTTTGTGATTATAGAAGGCCACCAAAGGCATTAAGGGTAATCTTCCTGTTCCAAAATCCTTAGCTCTTTAAAAGCTCTTTTGTCTTATAAAATAATGTATTTACAATTTCTAGGAATTGGACGTGGACATCTTTGGAACACTATTATATACCACTACAAAAAAGTACAGATAATCTCTTGACATCATTTAGACAAGTGGTACATAGCCAGAGGAGATTCTGCTGCTCTTCAGGGGCATTTGGTAACACCTAGAGACATTTTTTTGGGAGTTATAAACAGAAGGTCTGGATAAAGGACCAGGGATACTATCTCATAGTGTCAGCTCCCACAAAAAGAATTATCTAGCTTAAATTCTCTACCATAATGAGATTGAGAAACTCTCACTTAAAGCATATGATTTCTTCAAATTTCTTAGTTATGAAGACTATACTAAAATAAAAGTTAGCTTCAGGATTTAGACCTACAGAGCAAAGTCTAAAAACTGCATATAAACTCTGCAACTCCAAGTTTTTGACACTCAAAAATGGTAAGTAGTACTTTAATATTAGAGCGTAGAACTCTGATGTCAGTTGTTAATTAAGTACTGCTTGCTCCATTTGAGGTCTGGTCACTGTGACCTCTATTCCTTGACTTCAAAACATGAAGGAAAAAAATACATGTACCATGATTTTCCCTTCTTCTAGGAGAAAATTCAAGTTGGAGCTCTCTTGCACCTCAACTAAGAGCTTAGGTATCAATATTTTTACAAAATTCTCAAGAATTTCTGTGCTCAGGTATGAACTCTCCCAACCTTTTAAAATGACTGCAGAATTGCCAGTAGGATATTTTATGTTTTTCTAAGACACATTTTTTTCCATCTTTATTTTATTTTCCATCTACTCTATTGCTCTTTATTACTTGTTTCTGTCCAAGATTTCCCTCTAGAGTTTTCCTAATTTGCAGCAATTTATAAAAGTAACATTTGTAGTTTCTGTGGTGAAAAGATTTCTAACAGGCCAAAGTTGATGTGTGTATATGTATGTGTATGATGAGAAGAATGCTTCATTTCTTTCCCCAGGAAAAAAAATGTAACTATGAATATAAAAGTGTTCTAACAGCTTATAAGATTATAAAACAAACCAAAGAAAAACACACAGCTATACTACAACTTGGTGAACCACTAATTTCTGCTGTGTACATTTCTTTGCCAAGGTGCAGTTCTGGAAGGTGTTTTATACTTGGTGTGATCTTTAAATTACAATTAAAGGAGGCAGGGTAAATACATTTTCATGAGTTAATTGCCAAATACCATTAAAAACCACATCCCTAAACATTAAGTAACCTACTTTCTGTTGCTTGATGGGCTCCTACTGTCCTTCTCCATCGCTTGTATTTTTAAAATGGAGTATCATTTTCTACTCATTCACATTCTTTGTTTCACATGACGACTCAGGTCTACTGAGCCATCCAGGTCTTCATTCCTGTTCCTCAATTTTTCTGCCAGCCTTTCATGACTACATGTCACTCTCTTAACCTGTATCTCTTTAATGATTTAGTACTGAAAGATATGCTCACTGTTCAACGGTTCATGTTCTTTCTCCAACTACATGGCAAGCACCATAGAAATAAAAGTATAGTTTTTATCACCTCGCCATACAACCAAGGGCAGCCAGTGGATTATTTTTCAGACTATAAAATGAACCTCTTGCTTAAAGACATTTTAAGGTGGGCATGATGGCTTATGCCTATAATCCCAGCATTCAGGAGGCTGAGGTAGGAGAAATGCCATGAGTTCGAGGCCAGCCTGGGCTACATAGTGAGTTTAAAGCTAACATGAATTATACAATAAGACCCTGCCTCAGACAAACAAGGATATATGTGTGTGTGTGTGTGTGTGTGTGTGTGTGTGTGTGTGTGTATTTGAATTTCCTTGACTGTAAAATGAGAACAAATAAGAGTATGAAAAAGCAAAGGCAGAAATCTATTAACAATTGATATTTAAATGGTATATTTTAATTATAGACTTTTAAATGCAGAACAATTTCTCACCTGATTTTATGCAGTCTGATGACTTGCAGATACCATCTAGAAAAACAAAGGTATATGTATAAATATTTGCAATACAAGTTTTCTAATTTCTCTTTATCTTTTTTCCTTAAAAGCTACCAAATAAATAAGCAACCTCATAAAGTAAGAACTAAAAACTAAATACTACATATCACTATCAGTAGTCAGAAAATAATACAGGGGAGAAAAATAGGGAAGTCTTAAATTTGACTTTGATTGTGAAGAAAAACTATTGCTATCATCTCTGCAAAATGGGCCCTGAGCCTATCAAATTAAAATAATCAGTTGTTCCAACCATTATGCAGTAATCACTGTTTCCCATTAAAGAACCAATCTTTACTAATCCCTATTGTGAAAACTTCTAAGCCTCCAATTAGACTTCTTAAATTCCTGCAAAGCCTCTCAGAATTTCAATGGCACAGCAAAAATTGCCTGATGACTATTACTGAAGTTGGCCGTAAAATTGTGTATATTTTAATCACATAAAATTACACACTCGAATCCTCATAAAATAAACACAAGTCAGTAAACATCCTAGGCAATTAATAACTTAGTTCAAACATAAAAGACATTGTACTTTAGTCAAAGTTCACTGTTTTGACCTACGTTTAACATTTTATAAATACATCTTTGTATCATCCATGAGTTTCTATCCTTAACACACTTGTTAACTGGGTGGTGGAAGGATAAGATTTGCTCCTTTTTTGCATTGATGATTGAGCAGATGTGGAAGGAACTCACCATCGTAGGTTGCATAGAGAGCTATCATGGTCACAGCAATGATAGTAAGGAGCAGGACAAGGACTGAGAGACTGATCTCCAGCGGAGTCCATCGCTGTTTCTTCTTTGGCTTTGGAGTGTTGATATCAGTTATATCCATCTGACTTTCAGATCTTCCCATTACCTAATATCTGCAAAAACAGCATACAAATAACAATGACTAAATGGATACAAAGAAAATCTATGCATAATTTTACAAAAGCATAATATGATGGATCATAATAGAAGATTAAGTATTTTAAATTAGAAATAAAAGTTTTAGGCTGAAAAGTCAAAATTTTGACACTGAAAGCAAAATTTATTAAGCCATAAGTATTTGAATAGTCTCAGTCACAACTATTTTTTTTTCTTTTTGATATATCACTGAAAATCCTAACAAAATTAAAAGAATGATTTGGTTATACACTCATGTAATATTACTTCAGAAGATTATGAGCAAGTAATTTCTGTGTTGTTATTAAGAAAGTTTTAAATTCACTTTTTGAACTATGGATAGACGTTAAAGGTTAATTTTGTATATTGCTTCAGTGATTTATGAGCTCAAAAATCAATGAGTAATACACTGAAGTTTTGGCCAGGCAATAATTTGAAATATAAATACAAATAATACTCCAAAAGAATAAATATTTGCAGTGTTTATCTCACTTGTAAAAACATTTGTTTTTAAAGCTCAAGATGATGACTCTTGCTGATATGAGTATCCATTAACTGGTTAGACAACGTTCTAAAATGATTATTCTGTGGTCCAAAAGTCACTGATTTACACCCTGGAGTGAAACTGCCAACTACATCAATGTTTGCGCAATTTAAAGAGCAAAAGAAACATCTGATTAGAAAAAACTCCTACCTTGCAGGTCAAGGTATCAGTTGTTAAGGTGTATGTTTAACTTATATTTAAATTCATAATGTCAGTACTTCTACTACCATACTAACATTTACAGAGCTCTCTCCATGTTCCAGGTGCAGCTTTAATTCCTACACTAAGATTTCATTTCTACATTTTAGAAGCTGAGGTACACAGAAATCTGGTAATCGACTCAAACTTACACAAACATACAAATATAATTACATAATCACACTTAAAAAGTAGTTTTATTGCAGAAATTTAGGATAGAAAATTAAGAGGTCATAAGCCAATATATTAAATTTCATCACTTCTTTTAAGGCCTAATGATTGTATATAGACCACTTACCAGAGCCAAAATAAAAACCTCCCAGAAAACCCCAAAACTTCAGTTTTTCTATAGGACTATACAAAATATCTCAACCAAAAATTTAAATAGATTAGTTATTGATAACTCAATACAAATTAATCATACAATTTAGTTTCTAGATGAAGAGACTGCTCAGAAATACATTTATTGTTAAGATCTTTGCTGAATGCACACAATTTCCGGAAATTGTGTTTTATGAAAACTAAGGCACCAGAGAAAGTAGACTCCAACTCTATATTTGAAGTGTCATCTGGGATATCCAGAGAATAACGAGACACTTGTTCTTTCCAATGAGTTAATAAGTCAGTCACAACTGGACTTTAAGTTACTATACAAACTCTTAAGCATGTGGGCCTCCTGATTGCATAATCCTACAAACAAGAACAGACTATCTAATAAATCTTTTTATTGGAAAATGAAAATTATGTCTGCTCAATAAAAGTGGAATGTCATGTACATGAATGCTTAAATGCCTTATTTAATGATTATGTAACTCATCTTAACTTAGTCTCCCAGATCCTGGGGTTATAATTCAGAACTGCATTGATTTCACTCTTTTTTTAACAGGGTTGGTGGCTGGGTGAAGGACAAACAGTAATAAGTTTAATATTCTGGACATCTTACAGAGAGATAAACAATAAAAAGAAGAATTTACTCAGTCCCCTTAGATTTTGAGATTGATATTTAAAAACATAGAATATTAATTACATTTCCTTAAGTATGTCTCTTAAAAGTATCTTTCCCTGCTCTAGTAATTTCAGAACATAATTTTGAGAAATAGTTTACTGGTATAAAAATCCACTTCTTTTTCTTCTTAAAAGTTCTTTCTTAAAAGTGTGACTTGTAAATTAGAATTGAGGACTGGGAAACCAGGACAGCTCAGGGTTAAATTAGAGTTGTCCGTGGAATCACCAAGCTTCTTGGTGTATAAAGCTAGTAGCCCAGCATTATTTTTTTTCTTCTTGGTACTATTTCTCAGTTTCCTCTCCTTAACTGGAGAGAGGACAGCTAAGGCAGCTGCATTAATAGTTATGAAAAAATTAAGGCAATGATTAAAGCTGCTTAGTTCTTTTACCTGCAGCAAAACAGTATCATCTTTGAATTACCTGCAAAGTCTTTGTCTATCTGCTGGTCTTTTAACTGCTTCATAAATTCTCTAAAGAAGTCTTTTTCTAAGCCGCACTTTGCGATAGTGTCAAAAAAGCAGAAATGCCATAAGTTTAACCTCTTAATTAACTTTATCATTGACTTCCCGTTAATTGTAGATGATTCGTTATTTTCTTTTAAGAGGCCAGAAAGTCTGGTATAGTGTGGAATGTGCCTGTAATTTCCAGTTGGGAGGCTGAGGCAAGGGGATCACTAGGAGTTCAAGGCCAGGAGGAGTTACACTGAGCTCAAGGCACTAGCCTGGACTATGTAACAAGATTCTGTCTCAAGGAAGGAAGGAAGGAAGGAAGGAAGGAAGGAAGGAAGGAAGGAAGGAAGGGAGGGAGGGAGGGAGGAAAGAGGGAAGGAAGGAAGAAAAGGAGAATGGAGGGGTCAGAATACTGAACTTGAAGAGAGAACATAACTCTAACGCTGCAACTTACATGTCCAGTTTAACCACACACATTCAGCTTTAGGAAGGGCAGGGGGAAGAGGGGACAAGAAAACAATAGAATAATTACATTTTTAAGTCCCATATAAAGCAATATATGCAAAATCATCCTACATTTTTAAAACAATTCACCTCAACTGGAAATATGTTGAAAAGTGCAAGCTAAAAAGTAAATAGCACTACAGAAGGGAATAGAGAATTAGGGGGCATAACCCAACAAAAACTCTAAACTTCAACTTTTCACATTATCAGAAGATTAAACTATGATTTTGTTTTAGTATAAACTGAATTTCCTAGGAATGTGAAGCAACAGTTCTATCAGCTGAGCATAAACTTTATCACTTTACCAGATGGTCAAATCGAGAAACTTGTGGGTAAGTGACTCGTTAAAGGCAAAGTTGAGCCTACACATTTTTCATCTTCACAGCATATTACAGTAACTTAAGTGTACAAGTCTCTGCGATTGTGCTCCTTGATTACAATGTGCATAATGGAAACTGAGGCACAGGAAAGCAAAGCAAGCTGCGTAGGACAAATCTGAAGAAATGAGGTGGAAGCTAGCTGCTCAGGAGAAATCATCCTGTTTTCTGGACCTTAGTAGGTGTTTCCCTGGCCTCCAGGAAATGGGCAGCTCAGGCCACCGAGTCCCAGCTACATTACTCCCATGTGTAGTGGAGTCATACAGCCAAATAGACACAGCCAAATACACGAGCTCAGGAAACTATCGAACATGTTTCTAAAGAGCCAGAATCCAGCAAAAATGCAAGGGAGTGAAGTTACACGCCCTCCGAGCCTATTTGCCGATTAGCAGCTTCCAAACGCTGACGCTGCAACTCAGGTACTAGTTTTCGCTTACTAAAATTGCCATTCGAATCATTTACGGAGGAGGAATAGGTTTGATGGAGAAGCGAGAGAGGGATGTTCCGGTGCTAGCACCTCTCCTTTTAAACAGTGCAAATAGACGAGATCGGTTAAGCAAGGAAAGGGTCTTTGGGGGAAAACAAAAACAAAAATAAAAAACTTCCATTTACATGAGAACACCCCCACCCAGCGCCAACCAAGCCTGGTGCGATTTAAGCATAAATTATATAATAGGAAATCAAGGTTCAAAGCATAATGAAGAGGTCGATCATGAAAAGGTCTTCAGGTTAAGAAAAGTAAAAATAGAAAAGTGAGTTAAACCAGGAAAACCCACGACAGAAACCAAAATGAAAACAAACCTGGCTTTAAAAACACCCAGTGTCTGTACAGCGGAATGGCAAATTCCCAGCCCCCAAATCAACCCCGGTGCAATTTGGCAGCGCAGATCTCGGTAACCAAACATAACTCCCGGAGGCAGAGGCTGCAGGGAGCTATGGAAATGAACCGGGAGAGGCGACCTGACATCACTCGCAGAGCCCTCCTCCAAGTCACCCTCTCGGCCCCTGCCCTCCCCTCACTCCTCAGGTCTCACTGGCGGCGCCCGCCCGGGGCACGCCTCCCTCGCCCACAGCCCGCAGCCACCACGAGGCTGGGGCGCTGGCGCGGCGCCGGAGCGAGCCTCGGACCCTGCCCCGCGCCCCGGCGGCGTCCTGCCCAGCGCGTCCCGCGGGCGCCCGGCGCCCTGGAGACCCTCGCGCCCCGGCTCCCAGGTGCCGCCTCGCCCGCCCGCCAGCCCTCCCGGGACTCACCAGTGGGGCTCGGGAGAAGTTGGAGGCTGCCGAGCAGACACATCCCGACCAATGAGCGCGCGGGGCCGCGCGGCGGCGGGCAGGAGGGGCCGGGACCCGCGGAGCGCCCGCGGGCGGTGCGTCCCCGAGCGCGCCCCGAGCAGCGCGCGCTCCGGGTGGACGGAGCAGGCCGGACTCGGCGAGCTTCCCGGCCTGCCTCGGCCCGGGCGGGGACGCCGGGGAGCGGGGCATCCCTGGACCCTCACCGGAGAGACTCACCGTGGCCTCTCAGCAGGTCCCGCGCGGGCACTCGGGCGGCTGCTCCCGCCGGCGCGCGGTCCGGCTTCGCCACTTGCTCATCTCCGCGCCCCGCGCGTCCTGCGCTCCCCCACCCCGCGCGCCGCGGGACCCGAGAGGGGAGCCGTTCCCGGGTGACCTGCAGGTTCCCCGCGGGTCTCCCGAATCCCGTCACAGCATGTGAGGGGGCGGTGAGAAAGTCCCCCGCCCAGTCCCCCACCTCGGCATTCCCGAAAGGGCTTTGCCAAAAATTCTTGGAATTGCTTAGCTTCTGGGCTTTCAAGAAAACAGTGCGCTATCTCTCCGAGATTGGGTCGTGCTGGGGAAGGTTCTGCCTCTCTCCCTAGTGGACCTCCACAATACTGCTTGGCTCTTTCTCACACTCTTGCTTCCCTTCTCGCTCCTTTCCTCCTGCCTCCAAGCGTCTTTCCTTTCTTGATTATTAAATTTTCTCTTTCCTCTTTTATTCGTCTTTTCTTCCCTTTCTCCTTTTCTCTTTTCCTCCATTCTCCTTTTCTCTCCTGCTTTCATTTCCTTCTTTACTCTTTCATTCTTTTCTTCTGGTCAGAGCCCTATGATGTCAGAATCTGTAGTGAAACTCGACTCTCCCACCTCCTGCCTGGGGAATCTTAGGAGTATGGTGTGTGTGTGTGTGTGTGTGTGTGTGTGTGTGTGTGTGTGTGTGTGTGTGTGGTGGGGGTGGGTGGGGACGGGCCGAGAATGGGGAGCAAGGAAGACCAAGCACAGTCAGCTGAAGTGTGTCTACCTACTAAAATCAGCCATAAGTGACTGGACCCTTGTCTCTTTGCAGGCAGCCAAGCAGCACACCATTTTAAGACACTGAAATTCTTTCTTAAGAAGTGAAAAAAGCCCAAGAAAATAATTTATGCACAAAAAGCTGCCTTTTGTAGCTATAATTGTCAAGGAGCCAAGCAACTCAGAATTGAACTTCACTTATTTTTGCTTCTTCCTCCAGGATCTTTCAGTTCAGTTGTTCAATGCTAAATACAAAATAGTTTTGACACCCTTTTCCTCCTTTAAATCATAGGTTGGAAACACCCATAAACACACACACACACAAACACACTCGTGTACCCTAGTGAAACAACACAGCTTGAAATACAACTGGGTTTTTATGAAGTTGAAATTGTTTTTTAATATCAAAATGACTTACTGCTTTAGAGGAGTTCCTTACACTAATGCACAGGTAATATATTCTAATGAAAACGTAAACCACAGTGAAAAGGCATTTCAAGAAATAATTAATCTTTAAATAAAGGATATCTTCATGTTGTGCTTTTTGGGCGTGTTACAAACATTACTCAGTTCTCACAACAGCTCTCTTCACAAAAGCATAAGGAGCTTGGCTCACATCCTTTGAAGCATCCCAATAGGAACTGGAACCCAGTTAATTTTTACTTAAATGCCGAGTTACTATTTTATGGTGGATTGATGCATAGAAAAATGATTTGCTCAAATTTATTTGGTGGGAAATCTGGATCTAACCCTCCAGCACCTCTCAGTCAAATCAGGAAAATGTAATTTTGTTTTACATAATCAACAATGAATTAAAACAAGTTTAAAATTCCTCACTTCTTTTGATATACTTTCTTCATTGAAGTCTTGTGCACTAAAAGTTTAATATATCTCTGATTAGCATAATAATGAATCTGGGTGGAGGAGGTGGCTTAGACAGAATAATTAAAAATTTCTGTAGCAACTGGAAATTCAGACCAAGATCATATGCCTGATCTTAACCCTTTTATTTGAACTTTTTAAGTTAAATTCTGTTTTCTAATTTGCAAAAAAATAATAAAGTTCATTGGAGCATAATATAGTATAGCATAGCAATTTGGTAATACCTTTTTTTTTTCTTTTCTGTGCTGGCAATTGAACCCAGAATCTGAAGCATGCTAATAAGTATTTGCTCTGCCATTGAGCTCTTCTGCCTCCAGCCCTCAGAAGGAAGATCTCATTTGTTTTCATTATAAACTTGTATATGAACACTAAAAATGTAATTTTTTTGTTATTGTTAAAAGAAGCATTAACAAAAACTTTTCAAACTAGCTATGAACTTTCATTGTAGTTGCATTTCAGCTTTGTTTCAATAAAAAGAAAATTTTAGGAATCCACTTGGTGGGGGCATTTACAGGAACATTCAGATTGAATATCAAGAGGAAAAAGGCCTAAAGTTACTTTTAGGCTTTGACTTTCAGCTAATAAGTCAACAGTAGGAGTGAATAACTCCCTTGCTCCAAGTCTTAATCTCACTGAAGTTCATTAGAAATACAAGGGTTTTATCAAAAAGGCTAAATCTTTTCTTTAAGGAGTTAAGCAGTTTTGAGATAATGTGTCATTTAAGGGATCTGATAAAAAGTCCCTATGTTCTGGTCAGTAAAATGGTTGCCAAAGTGAGGATTATTGAGGTTTCCAGGGTCATTCAGTTTAGTCAGTTATAGGAATGAGAAATAGTTTTCCTTATGGCCACATATAACATATCAGTAATGAAATACAATGGTTCTGCCCACAGGCTGACTAAAGCCTTCAAACGGTCCCTATGTATAATATTCACAAATGCTTAATAAACAATTTTTTGAGATTTTAAAGTAGCTAGCAAGAAAATAAAAGACAACTACAAAATCTAAGGATCTAGAAAAAGGTGTGTGAGTGAAAGGTAATAAGTCAGTTCAGAGATTCTTACTTAAAACTAGAACACTGATAAGAAATATATATAATAAAAGGTGATCCAAAAAAAACCAACTCAAACCCCTTCCTACTATGCCCTTCACCCTCTACCAACTAAGAGAAGAATTGTTGGGTTATGATCTATTTGCTTCAACACCTCTACAGAATGTAAACATTTTCCAAAATGGGTGCTAAAGTGTAAGGCTTCTCTTTTGAGACTCTGTTTCCTTTAAAAAAAAAAAAAAGACTCATGTTAGTAAATTTACAACAAATATTTTCTGTTAAAACTCTTGATCAGATCAGTAATCAGTAGGATGTAGAGGCAGAATTTAAACTAATTATGTGACCCCAATGTTGCCCAGTTAAAATCTGTGGTAAAATAATCCTAGTTAAGCTATATCCAATGAAAATATAATTATCACCATCCTACTCTCATTATAAGAACTTCTTGGGAATGAATGTATGAAACAAAATAACAATCAGTGGAAAATTTGATATACAAAAAGGAACGGCAAATAATATAACAACCACCCTACTAAAAAATGTAGTGTTTAACTATTAAAATTATTAGAGTAAACGATGCATTGCCATTAACCTCCCACAAAATACTCCCTCTCACTCCTCATACATTTATCCCGACATTCCTCTACTTTCTGAAGCAGCTCTGGAAATCCTCTTTAGCAAGTGTCCTTGGATACACTGTCCTGGCTACCTCTATGTCCTGAATAGACTGAAAACATTTACCTTTTATGGTTCTTTTGACTTTGGGGAAGAAACAAAACTTCCATGACACCAAATCTGGTTAATGAGGTGCTGGTTAATAAGGTGCATGAGAACACACTTTGATGTTTCTATTTGATTGTACTTGTAAGAAATTTTAATTGATTCATGATATTGAGGCAATCATGAAAGGACACTCATAAAAGAGGACTTCTAGAAGAACTGCAGAAAGTGGAGGAATGATGGCGTGTGTGTTTGCAGGAAGGTAGAGTATGCTGGGGAGAGTTAATGGCAATGTGTCTTTTATTGAAACAAATTGCTTTATTTAAACATCCACTGTGTATTTCAATGGTACATTGTAAATGTAAGTAAACATTGATCATGAAAAAGTGGTGACAAAAAATTGATACACTGCACAGTAATTCTTGGACTTTAATAAACCTGAAGAAAAATAACTTTAAAAAGTGTACATTTAGAAATGCTTAAAGGATTCACACAAATAAGTCAAAATAACAAATGAATACAAGATGAACTCACAGTGGAAGTTTAAAAATATAATTGAATGCCAGTGAAAACATTGCATAGAAATATCATCATTTGAGATGCTTAGAAAAGTGTTTTTAGATTAAGTAATTTTATTTTTGAGGAAAAAAACCAAAATTTTTTGAAATGAATCTCTAACTTAAGAAATAAGAAAAAGAACAGAATAGATGAATTATGAGTACATAAAAGTTGGCCAAAACACACTCTAGAAAGTAAATTTGTTTACACTAAGTATTGTATTAGGGCACCTAGACATTGCAGTTACAAAAAAGAGGCAAAGATGGAAGAAGAAAAATAGAAAAAAAGAAAATTAAATAAATGACAAAACTATCTGAAAATAGTATGAGCAACAATATTCAAAAACTAGAGGAATATACACAAAATTATTCATATTTATGAATAATATGATTTTTTGAGAAAATATCTATATTTTAATATTTTTATATAGTAGAAAATGTAATCTTAAAAAACTTTCACAATAACAAATATATCTATAGATAATGATGTAAACATAA